TTCATCATCTGCCAGTGCGCGTTCATGCTCAGTAGCTCTTACTGCAAAAACAGAGCACTTTAAGGAATCATCAAGAAGCGTCAGTGGATGCTGGAAATCTGCGAGACAGATGGAGAGAAGGAGGACGAGCGAGGGCTGCTTTAATTATCAGCTTTCTGCTCAAATTGTCAGACAGTTTACCGGGATTTTATAGCGGGGGAAATACGTATTGAACAGGTCATGTTGTTTTTCCTGTGAATAATATTTCTAAAGGAGCTGTTGACATGGAAATGAAGCATGTAAAAGTAAAAACCCAAACAATACAAACATAAAAATATGAACGATGAGTTATGTGTACTAACAATGGAATGGCACAAGGAGAAAGTGCTGAACTACTCAAATTTATTAAATTTTTTCTATAAAAGGATCTTTTTTGGTGATGGCGGCTTAAAGACACCTCTGATACGGAGACTGAAGTCACATGCATTGCTCAGGTGTGAGTTTTCTCAACGGAGGCTCATTCTGAAAACGTAGCCCTACGGACATTTCTGGAGACCGTGATTTACATGGCCGGACATACGTACGGTGCATTTCGTTTTTTCAAGCGAACGTTATGGGGCTGTGTGACGCCACTCCTCTTTGCACTTGCCGGCTGACGGCTCACCTCTTCCATGTGGAGGGCTGCAACCGGGTTGTCCGGTTAGCTTGTCGTGTTACGTCGGCGGAGCGGAGGCCTGGAGGAGGAGCTGGCCGCGGTGATGACTGGGTTCGAGTCCAGGGAAGAGCGGTTTCAGAAATTAAGACTAAAAACAGAATCCAAAGAACAAAGCGAACGAGTTTGTAACGGGGCGAGAATGAAGTGAAATCTGGGGTCAAAATCGGACGAGGGATTTTCTTTTTCTAGACGGCTTTTGTAAATTGTCGCTTGGATTTAGGGAAGAAGGAGGAGGAGGAGGAGGGTGGCTTGGGCGGTCAATAGTTCAGTCAAGCGTTCAGTCATTCCGTCGGACAGACGGTCGCTCGACAGCGGCCTCTGGCGGCTTTAACGCGCGACTGGTGCGCGCTTGCAAGAACCATTTGAGATGCAAAAAAAGTGCACACAGCGGCATCTCGTGGATTAGCAAAAACAAAAACTGCACAAATACGGACCTCCCATGACGTATTTTACAGTCTCCAGAAACGTCCGTGGGGCTACGTTTCCAGAATGAGCTTGGATTGAGTTTTTCACAGACTTCAGCAGAGTGTCAAAATCTTGATATTTCTGTGGGTCTTTTCCAGGACTGGGTTGCGGCTGGGAGGGCGTCCGCTGCATAAAACATATGCTGAAATAGTTGGTGGTTCATGACTCCTGATAAATAACCCTGCAGTCACAGGACGTCAACATGACGTTATATTGACGTTGTACCCCAACGTACCCCAATGTCGTGGGGCTGTTGGATTTTGTTTGGAAATGAAAAGTGGCTTGACGTCAGAGCCCATTGTCGAGCCAACGTCAATGTCCAACGTCCAATCAACTTAAAATCAACCAAATATCAACGTCTAATCACGTTACACCTTGACGTTGTGTGGACGTTACCACTATGATGTCTATCAGACGTTGGATTTTGGTCACTATCCATTTATTCATTATGTTTTCGGCTTAGTCCCTTTATTAATCAGAGGTCGCCACAGCAGAAAGAACCGCCAACTTATCCAGCATATGTTTTACACAGCGGATGCCTTTCCAGCCACAACCCGACACTGGGAAACACCCACACACTCTTGCGTTCACACATACACTACAGCCATTTTAGTTTATTCAATTTACCTATACCGCATGTTAATTCACCTATACCGCATGAAACCGGAGCACCCGGAGAAAACCCATGCGAACATGGGGAGAACATGCAAACTCCCCACAGAAATGCCAAGCCAGGCCTTGAACCAGCAACCTTCTTGCTGTGAGGCGATCGTGCTAACCAGTGCACCACCGTGCTGCCTGGTCACTATTCAACACAACCTAAAAATCAACCAAATAGCAACGTAATCGGACATCGTAATTGGACGTCAAATTAACGTTGTCCTTTGACGCTGGCTAGACATTGAATTTTGGTCGCCTGACGTAATGACCTAAATCTAACCTAATGATAACGATAACGTCTTCTCATGTTGAATGCCTGCTGGGAAGGGACTAGGCTGAAGGAAAATTAACGAATGAATGAATGAATGAACGAATGAACAAACGAACGAACGAACAAACAAACGAACGTACGAACGAGCAAACTAACTAACTAACTAACTAACTAACGAACAAATCACCCTTTTTCCACCCTTTAGATTGTTTTGCTTGGCTATAAAAAATAAAAAAACACTGTTGTCCAATAACTTGCCTAATTAACTTAACTTGCCTAGTTAACCTAATAACCTAGATTAGCCTTTAGGTTGGACCTTGAGCCGAATACTAGCGAAAAACAACTAGTAAAACATTATGTGCTGTCATCATGACAAGGACAAAATATATCAGTAATTAGAAATTAAAACTATTAAGCATTAAAAAAAAACTTCTCTCCTAGTAGTAACACTTTGCAAATCATTTTAAAAAGGTTTGATAATTCTGACTTCAACTCTATATATACTCATCAGACGTTCACTGTTGCTGCATTAAAAATGCATGATGCAGGCTGCGATCAGGATTAAAATGTATGAGGCATTTGTTGCCGGGGTGACGTCTTCTTCTTTTTTGGCGGGTGTTAGGTAGTTTGTCCAAAAAAAGAGATTTAGCATGTTTCATACTTCACTGTTAGTGTGGTGTTGTATGTGCTGAATGCAAAGAGGGAGATGAAGAGAATGCACTCGAGTTATGAAACCAAAAGCAGAACAAAAGGAAACCCGAAAGAAGAGAGCAAGAGCCTCAGTCTGTCAGCGCTCCTCCATTTCTCTAAAAGGGTATTTTTGTGAACACTGAGATAAGCAGTCTGCTTTGCTTTTAATGGAGATCACTTGAAAAGCTCTGTGTTTTGTTGTAGTTTATAACAGTGTACTGCTTGTTTCTCTCTTGTTTTCTTGCGCCTATTTTAACACAGCTGTGGACTCCCAAAAATAAATTTTTTTTGTACATTTAAAAAATTATGTTTGCTGTTTCTTCAAACTGTTTATAATAAATGAGCTGAAACAACACAATTCTTTAGTTTTTTTGCCGGGCAACTTAATTTTCCGAAGCCAGATCAGTCTCAAAAATAATACATTTACAATTCACAATTCACGTTTACAAAATTTCATTTGTAAATTCAAAATGCAATTTGTAAATGTGCAAATCCAATTCATAAATCCAAAACGCAATTCTTAAACATGCAAATCAATTTCATAAATTCTAAACATAATTCATAAATATGCTAATTAATGTCATTAATTCAACACACAATTCATAAATATGCAGATATAATTCGTAAATTCAAAACACCATTCATAAATATGCAAATCCAATTCGAAAATTTAACACACAATTAATAAATATGCAAATCCAATTAATAAATTCTAGACAAAATTCATAATTGCTCAAATCCAATTCATAAATATGCAAATCCACTTCATAAATTTAAAACACAACTCATAAATATTATAATCTAATTCATAAATTCAAAACACAATTCAATAATTTAAAACACACTTCATAAATATGCAAATCCAATTAACAAATTCAAAACACAACTCATAAATAAGCTAATAAAATTCATAAATTCAAAACACAACTCATAAATATGCTAATCCAATTCATATATTCAAAACACAACTCATAAATATGCTAATCCAATTCATAAATTAAAAACACAACTCATAAATATGCAAATCCAATTAATAAATTCAAAACACAACTCATAAATATGCTAGTCCAATTCATAAATTCAAAACACAACTCATAAATATGCTAATCCAATTCATAAATTAAAAACGCAACTCATAAATATGCTAATCCAATTCATAAATTAAAAACACAACTCATAAATATGCAAATCCAATTTGGAAATTCAAAACACAACTCATAAATATGCTAATCCAATTCATAAATTCAAAACACAACTCATAAATATGCAAATCCAATTAATAAATTCAAAACACAACTCATAAATATGCTAGTCCAATTCATAAATTCAAAACACAACTCATAAATATGCTAATCCAATTCTTAAATTAAAAACACAACTCATAAATATGCAAATCCAATTTGGAAATTCAAAACACAACTCATAAATATGCAAATTCAATTAATAAATTCAAAACACAACTCATAAATATGCTAATCCAATTCATAAATTCAAAACACAACTCATAAATATGCAAATCCAATTTGGAAATTCAAAACACAACTCATAAATATGCTAATCCAATTCATAAATTCAAAACACAACTCATAAATATGCAAATCCAATTCATAAATAAAAAAAGTTCATAAATATGCAAATCCAATTAATAAGTTCAAAACACAACCCAGAAATATGCAAATCCAATTCATAAATTCAAAACACAATTTATAAATATGCAAATCCAACTAATTTGGGAAAATATTTATGATTTTTACTTGTGAATTCAGAAACAGTTTTGAATTTATAAATTTTGTGCACAAAACGTGCTGTATCATAAAGGGATTGTGAAATTACTTTTCAACATCTTATCCAGCATATTTTTCACGCAGCGGATGCCCTTCCAGCTGCAACCCATCACTGGGAAACACCCATACATTTTCATTTACACACATCCACAAATTACACACATTACAAAGTCTATAACAAGGAGAACCACAATATCACTATTAAATTTGCCGTTTTAAAAGGTCACAAAAAATAAGTCTATTTTAAAGAGAGTTAGTTATGACATCTAAAACATTTGAAAGCACATACCAGGCCTAGATACACATGATGCAACCGAGTAGCGACAATTTCACATTGTTATATATATATATATATGTGTGTGTGTGTGTCTTAAAACTTTTAGAGGTATCGAAAGACATTTATTTATTGATCTGTTTTCTGTTCTTTTATCCACAGGTTTCACAGATCTCCACTTCTGTGTGATGCAAGAAAGCAAGATGAGACGACCTGGGAACTAAAAAGAAAATTGTTGTTGGGAAGAAGCACAATCTTACGGCCGGACAGTTCCAATTTCCTTTCCTCCCGGGAGATTATAAGCCTACAAGAGATACTACAACATGGAGCGCTCTCATCTAAACAACAGCTCCTGGTTATTAGAGGATCCGACCTGTCCAGCGTCTCTCAGCAGCACCACGTTTCTCATCGTAGCATACAGCACAATGCTGGCAGTGGGTCTGGTAGGCAACACATGCCTAGTGGTCGTCATAACCAGACAGAAAGAGATGCGTAACGTAACCAACATCTTCATCGTCAACCTCTCATGCTCCGACATCCTCGTTTGCTTAGTGTGCTTGCCAGTCACTATAATCTACACTCTAATGGATCGCTGGATTTTGGGCGAAGCGTTATGCAAAGTGACACCGTTCGTTCAGTGCATGTCGGTCACCGTCTCCATTTTCTCAATGGTTCTCATTGCATTGGAAAGACACCAGCTTATTATTCATCCCACCGGATGGAAACCTGTCGTGAGACACTCATACCTGGCCGTAGCAGTAATCTGGATCATCGCCTGCTTCATCTCGCTGCCATTCCTATCATTCAACATCCTCACAAACTCGCCTTTTCACAACCTAAGTCTCCCTTTTAATCCCTTCAGCGATCATTTTATTTGCATCGAGCAATGGCCGTCTGAGGGGAATCGGTTGACTTATACTACGACTCTACTGCTGTGTCAATATTGCCTACCATTGGCGCTTATATTGGTGTGTTATTTCCGCATTTTCCTACGCCTCAGTCGACGTAAAGATATGGTTGAAAGGGCTCGCGGAGGACGACAGAAGAAAGCCAAAGGCTCAAAGCGAGTGAACGCCATGCTGGCCTCCATTGTAGCCGCGTTCGCTTTGTGTTGGCTCCCGCTCAATGTTTTCAACACCATTTTCGACTGGAACCACGAAGCGATTCCCGTTTGCCAGCACGACGCTATTTTCTCAGCTTGCCACCTCACTGCTATGGCCTCGACATGCGTCAATCCGGTCATCTACGGATTCCTGAACAACAACTTCCAGAAGGAGCTGAAGTCGCTGCTTTCTAGATGCCGCTGCTGGGGGCCGGCAGAGAGTTACGAGAGTTTCCCTTTGTCTACAGTCAGTACGGGCATCACTAAAGGCTCCATCTTGAGCAACGGCTCGGCTAGCACCTACCAGCCACACAAGAAAAACAGTTTGGAACAGAAAGAGAGCATTTAAAGTACTTTTTTGACTTAATATGGGACGTTTCAAGCTCTACTAGATGTCCACTTGTCTTCTTTAACTCAGAATGCTACAAAACAATATGGTTCCTACTTGAGTTTTTGTCTCGTTTCTTGTCCAAATATCTAAAAATTCCCTTAAAAACAGTAGTTGTAACAAGTATTATTTATGCTATCTATTAAATTACCCAAGAAATAGTATTTTTTAATGCCCACCCCAACCCTAAACCCGACCGTCACAGTATCGTAAAATATTATTTATTGTTATACAGTGTGATAAAAAACACTGCTATATTGACTTCCGGCCGGCCGCGCATCCAATCTAGACTTTACCAAGAGTTAATACAACCTAGCAGACTCCTCCTTAGAGGAGGCGTGGTTATGTTAGCCCCACCCATTATCTAAGACAGCTGCAATCTAAAAATTTAAAGTCTGCAAGAACCAGAAGCTGCGATCGTTTTTTTTGTGCGTATTGGGACGCAGTTACTAGAAAAACAAAATATTAACTGGGAAAACAGTGGGCGTGGCTTGTTTTTTCTACTGCGAGCTGATTGGATGTAGTAAAGTAGGCGTTTCATTTTGAAAAATTGGGAAAAGGATTTTGGGTAGAGTTATGGTTGTTGCTAGATCAGATACGGTTGTGACTGGAAGTTAACGAGAATTATTTATATAATTTCCCATTTATTGTATTTTATTAATGTCGATCGCCACCCCAACCATCACAGTAACATAAAAACAGTAGTTGTACCAAGTATTATTTATGCTATCTATTAAATTACCCGATAAATAGTATTTTTTAATGGCCACCCCAACCGTTGCAGTATCGTAAAATATTATTTATTGTTATACAGTCATAAGAAACACTGCTATATTGACTTCTGGCCGGCCGCGCATCCAATCTAGACTTTACCAAGAGTTAATACAACCTAGCAGACTCCTCCTTAGAGGAGGCGTGGTTATGTTAGCCACGGCCAAAACCTCATACAGACGTAATCTGAGAATTTAAAATTCGCATGAACCATAAGCTGCAACCTTTTTTTTGTTGTTGTTTGAATTGTGACGAAGTTCCTAGAGCAACAGAATATTAAATGAGAAACCAGTGGGCGTGGCTAGTTTTTTTTCTACTGCGAGCTGATTGGACGTAGGTATTTCATTTGGAAAGATTGGGAAAAGGGATTGGGGAGAGTTATGGCTGTTGCTAGACCAGATACGATTGTGGCCAGAAGTTAACAAGAACTTTCCCCTTGTATTTTATTAATATCTACCCCCACCCCAACCGTCACAGTAACGTAAAAACAGTAGTTGTACTGAGTATTAGTTATGCCATCTATTAAATTACCCAATAAATTGTATTTTTTAATGCCCACCCCAACCCTAAACCCAACCGTCATGGTATCGTAAAATATTATTTATTGTTATAGTGTCATAAAAAACACTGCTATATTGACTTCCGGCCGGCCGCGCATCCAATCTAGACGTTACCATGAGTTAATACAACCTAGCAGACTCCTCCTCTTCACTACTTACTGTCAAAACTGACAGTTAGAGGAGGCGTGGTTAAGTATGTTAGCCACGCCCAAAACCTCATACAGCCAGAATCTAAGGATTTAAAATTTGCATGAACCCGAAGCTGTGACTTTTTTTTTTCATATTGTGACTCAATTCCTAGAGAAACAGTATATTAAATGAGAAAACAGTGGGCGTGGCTTGTTTTTTTCTACTGCAAGCTGATTGGATGTAGTAAAGTAGGCGTTTCATTTGGAACGATTGGGAAAAGAATTTGGGGAAAGTTATTGCAGCCTAACAGACTCCTCCACCTCACTACTTCTGTTATTGTCAAAACTGACTGCTGGAGGGGTGTGGTTAAGTATGTTAGCCCCGCCCAATACCTCAGACAGACGCAGTCTAAGAAATCAAAGTCCGCATAAACCAGAAGCTGCGACCATTTTTTATTGCATATTGTAACGCAGTTACTAGAAAAACTGAATATTAAATGAGAAAACAGTGGGTGTGGCTTGCTTTTTTCCACTGTGAGCTTGGATGTAGAAAACTAGGCATTTCATTTGGAAAGATCTGGAAAAGGGTTTTTAGAAAGGTTTTATTACAACCTAACTGACTCCATCTCCTCCCTTCTTCTGTTTGTTATTGTCAAAACTGACTAATGGAGGGGCGTGGTTAAGTAAGTTAGCCACGCCCAATACCTCGGACAGATGTAATCTGAAAATTTTACTGAAAACAATCAGGATGTGCCTTTTCGGATTTTAGTTTTAGATGACAAGGGAAAAGAATTGTTTTTTGTCTTAATAACATGCACACATAATTTGTTTATGATGAAACTAGCAATGTGATTGAACAAAAATCACTATGGTTAGTTTTGATTTTATGCGTGCTAAATCAAGACCCAATATTGTTTTGATGTCAGAAATAATGAGTTAAAATTAAGTGAGTTCTTCCTTAAAAGAAGATGAATTGTGTGCTAGTGAGGTTGGTAAATTTAAAAACTGAAAAGAAGATTATTTTACTTAGCCCAGGCAGGTTATTCACCCTGTTTTAAGGAAAAGCTTACATAATTTTGACCAAAAATTAAATAGAAATTTCTTGTCTACAAAATGCTTCTTGATTTTGAATATTTGGACTTGAAAGAAGACAAAAACTCCAAGGAGGAAATGCATTTTGCAGCCAAAATGGACTGAAACTGATTAAGGAAAGATTTATTCTGTCTGGGCTCTCCAGAGGACGACTCTGTAAATTGCGTTGATGTTTTATCCACCGCTGGAATGACTACGGCCAATTAAATGATGCCGGACTTGTGGTCATTATATGGTGAGTCCTTAATGGCACAGAAAGCCTTTTTGCCAATTTAGAGCAAGGTTTTTTCTTTGAGAGACGGCATAATGAAATGCTGAAGGACTTTTTGTTCATTGTCTTTGTCCAGTGTGTGTCTTACTAACTGCAAAGAAATGGACTATTTTGGGAAAACTGATAAAATAAATGTATTCCGTCATAATTTACTCACCTTCATGCTGTTCCAGTACTGTTTAACTCTTTGTTTTCTGTATAAACAGATTCGGTTATTGACACAGAATGTTTTTTTTTCTATTCCAATTCCCTTCTTTTCTGTAGTTTTTCAATGTAAATGCGTTTGACAGAGCCTGTTAGCTTGCAAAAAATATATTCTTACATAAATATTGTCTTGTTTATAGTACAAATATCTAAAAATTCTTAAAACAAGAAGCATTTTCTAAAGTACAAAATATTGTCTTGTTTTCAGAAATAATGAGTCAAAATGAAGTGAGTTCTTCCTTAAAACAGGCAAACTTGTCTGACAATATGGTAAGACGACATTGTCAGATAAGAAAACTAGATAGTTTTGGTTGCCTCATTTGCAGATAATTTTGCTTGTTTTAAGGAAAATCTCACTTTATTTTGACTCATTATTTTTTTTAAACACAACAAAATATTTAACTTATATATAAAATGCTTTATAATTTAAGATTTTTTTAGATATTTGGATTATAAACAAAACAAAAAAGATGAAGAAAAAAGCAGTGTATGGCTTTGAAACACATTAAATATAGCACATGACTCTACTTTTATAGTACTTTGTCTATTTTGAACTATCCATCAACTCGTTCTAAATACGTACCCCTGTATACATTTCGGGAGAGCGCCAAATACATGCCCGATTTTTGTTTTTGCCACTGTGTACACTTTTTCAAATCTTAAATTTCTCTCACGAGTGCCATTCGCACCTGCTGTTTTCGCACAAATCTACCAGAGGCCGCTATTGTCTAACTTACTGACCGACTGACCAATCCCCCCACCCACCTCCTTCACAAAACCCAACCGATAGTGTTTTCAAAAGTAATCCAGCCTGATTTACCACATTTTCAGATTTTTCCACATTCTTACACTGTTATTCGCTTGTTTGTATTATTTTTTTAAATTTTGCTTGCATTCTGGAACTGTTCTTAACCAGACTCGAACCCCATCATCATGATTAACTCAGATTTGCATCTCAAATCCGCCAACGTTGGCGGCAAGCCACTGGACAACTGGCAGCAGACAACCGGTAAGCGATCAGCTGGTAGCCCGAAAAGGAACGCCATCATACCGACCTGTAGCATTCGTTTAAAAGAAGAAATGCAGCCATAAGTAGCTCTGGCTACATAATTCGCGCTCTCCAGAAATGTATACGTGGGCACATTTTCAGAATGAGCCTATGTAGATTTTTAAGTCAAAGTGGATATCCTAAGAAAATCCCTAAAAAAGACCAACAATGCAATTCTCTTGTGTTTCACAGCGGAAATACAGTCATAATAATCTGGAACGGCATAAAGATGAGTAAATGATTGGGAAAACATTCTAGAACTAGCAATACGTGTATAGCATGTACATTTAAAACATGTATTATAGCTATTTCTTATACAGTAGTTACAATGCAGCATCAGCACATTCATTTATATATAAATATATATAAAGCACATTCTGTCTTTGATTAGAGATAGAAGATCTGCCGTTTCTGTCTGATTGATGCTCCAATTTGCATATTTTGTTGCTTTGTAATGTCATTAATTTCATTATTAATACAATGTTTTCATTTCTAAGTGTATAACACAGTATAAAAATGCTTTTCTTATGAGTTTGTCTCGTTTCTATAATCCAAATATTTAAAAAAAAAATCATAAATCAAAAAGCATTTTCTAGCTAAAGCTAAAAATATTGCTTTGTTTTTAATAATAAGTCAAAATTAAGTTAGTATTTCGTTAAAACAAGTTATTTCTTAAACAACAAGTTATTCAATTTATTAATACTCTTTGGCTTAGTCCCTTTATTTATCAGGGGAATGATCTGCCAACTTTATTGTACTGGGAAACACCCTTACACACTCATAAACTACGACCAATTTAGTCAGTAGTATCTGGATGCAGCCTTTGTGATGCAAGCTGAGATTGCATCACTCAACGATGCAACGTCAGACACAATGCACTCAAATGGAGCGAGTGATGTCACTGAGGGGGAGGGTTAGGGGTGGGGTTAGGTAAGCCCATTAAAAAGCATTGGATGCAGCTCAGATTGCACTGCACCAGGTCTGCATCCAGACTCCTCTCAATAGTTCATCCAATTCACCTGTAGCGCATGTGTTTGGACTGTGGGGGAAACCAGAGCACCCGGAGGAAACCCACACCGAGATGCATGCAAACTCAGAAATGCCAACTGGCCCGGCCGGGACTCGAACCATTGATCTTCTTACTGTGAGGTGACATTGCTAACCACTGAGCTACTGAGTCAAATAATTTAAAATCTTATTTCAAATAGAAAAACTAAATAGTTTTACTTGATTTAAGGGGAAAATCTCTCGTAATTGTGATTAATAACTTCTGAAAACAAGCTTTACATTTTTTACTTGTGTGGAAAATGCTTCTTGATTTAATTAATCTTAGATTTTGGAATAGAAACAAGCACAAAAACTAAATAAGAAAAGCATTTTGTTTTTGCAGTGTAGACTCAGTGCCTCATTTGCTTATTCACCAAACAAAAAGCATGCTGTGAGTAGTATCTGTAAATAAATAAACAGTGTATCCATATTATGTGGCCAAAACATTATGATGTCACTAGTTATTAGAACAATAACACTTTGAAACAGTCTGCAAAAGTCTTGTCACATGTATAAAACCATCAAGTTGTCTTGATAGCTCTTGCAAAACAATGAAAATTGTCATTGTTTACTGTTGTTGAACACATCCTGAAGTTATTTTGAAACATTTGGTTTGCCGTTGACTTTTATTCATTTATTCAGTCATTCATTTTCTTTCGGTGCAGTTTCTTCATTTATCAGGGTACACCACAGTGGGATGAACCGCCAACTACTCCAGCATATGCTTTAAGCAGCGAAAGTCCTTCCAGCCGCAACCCAGTACTGGGAAACACCCATACACACTCATTCACACACATACACTGGCTAATTTAGTTTACTAAATTCACCTATATATGCCGCATGTGTTTGGAAACCGGAGCACTCGGAGGAAACCCACGCCAACACGGGGAGAACATGCAAACTCCACTCAGAAATGCCAGCTGAGCCAGCTGGGACTCGAACCAGCGACGTTCTTGCTGTGAGGCCACAGTGCGAACCACCGTGCCGCCCCATTGACTTTTATTGTATTTGTTTTTGTTACTGTGGACATCAGGGGTTTAACATTCTTCAAAATATCTTCTTTTGTGTTCATTGGGGGAAAAAAGACAATTATAAAGGTTTAAAACCTCTTGACAGTGAATAAAT